CAGTGAATGCATGGCCATCTGCTCTCTGTTCTCTAGAATCAGTCTCCCTTGCCCCTCATTCTGAACCCTTTTCCACCAGAGCTCTGTGGAAGGTGGTGGTCATAGAAACTGTGACCATTTTTGTCGGTGTACAGAGGAGCAGCTTGTTCATTGCAGAATGGGGTCTAAGTTGAGCCTATGCTAAGCCAACCATGCTATGTCCTCTTGAGGCTGCCTTACCTTTTTCTACTCCATTCTGTGGAGCCAGATAGGAGTTCCCGATCACCAGTGTTTGTGTCTTGCCTGGTAAACTTGGCCGTTGCCTTTGAACTTGACCCCACGAGGTTTGCAGACTCCGGCTTCCCTGCACATGAAGGGTGACAGCAACACGTTGCCTGTGCCTTTAAGCCAGATGGCTTTTTGTAAAATGTAGGTGTGGGAGGACTGAGGGTCCTTCCAGCTTCCTGCATCAGAGGACAGCCAGCCAGAGTCAGTGCCAGGAATCAGATTGATTTTTATCTTGTTGCTGTGTAAATAGATTTTAGTAATTAATTGAAGAGGTTTCAGGGTCAGAATGGGAAATAGATTTCTATTAATGTTAAGGTGTTACTTACGTGTAACCTCGTTGACTCCACTCAATTTTTTTCTTTAACATCTTGTTTTTGTCATGTTTCCAATAGAGTTGCCATTTTAACTTAAGTTTAATTCATCCGATTAATATGTAGAGGTCTTTAGTGATTGAAGTTTTTCTTTCCTTTCCTGAAATATGTATTGTGTCCACCCCTAGTTTGATCTGAGGAAAAAAAAAAATAAGGAAACCAACCAGGCTGTTGGATTTGACAGTGTGTGCATGATTGTTTCTTCCACTCTTGATCTTAGCAAGATAGCCACATGCTATAGTTTTTGTCAGACTGTGGGTATCCGACATTGAAGAGAGCTGAGTGTGTGCTGACTTTGAAGTTTGTGTGTGCTTTGTAAGATTTAAGTATCTTCTAGAGATGGAATGGGAACTCCTTTTTGCATACAACCAGATCTCACAGGGCTGAGGCATCCTGAGGCGGTTTTGGGGCTCTTCCAACCACAGCTCATAGATATCCATCCCATGGACATTTGTAAATATTAGGAAGATAGCCTTGCACAAGTCTATGAAATAAGCACTCAAAAAAACCTTTCATTGCAGATTAGTCAATAAAATGGGTTTCACCATAACAATTATTTTTACTACTTTAACTAATGGGTATTTAGCTTAAACAGCATTGCATAGGAGAGGCATCATATCAAGAGGAACAGCCAAAAGTTGTGTGCCTGGGGCAGCTCCCGAGTGGGAGCCCCAGATGGCTTGGTTCCCAAGTTGTGCCCCCACCCAGGACTGAGCAAGCCTTCCCAGAATTCCCTGGGTTGAGTGAGGTGAGCCTCCAGGGTGGGGGAGGGGGAGGCCATTCCAGTTCTGTAGGCTCCCGCTGAGATGTGGGCTTTGAAGGCAGGTCAGGATTGTTCTCATCCAAAGACTGGAGAAGATGTTAAGAGCTGAGGAGTTTCCCTCCATCCCACAGGTTCTAGGAGGAGCCTGGGCCTGTGGGCAGCTGTCCTTTGCTGGAGACTCAGCACTTCAAGGGAAGAGGGCACAGGGAACAATCCCAACCAAAGGGTCACCTTGAAGGTCTTGGCTTTGTCCTCCGAGACTGGAAGTCACGGAGAACTGGGAGCCAAAGCCAGGTTTCGTTTAGTAGCAATGGCTGTGCACTTCACTGCAAGATGGGAGGGAAGGGAGGAGGGAAGAAGGGAATCCCAAGGGATGTCTACAAGTTGAGCAAGATCTAGGCAAAATCGAAGTGCATTCAAAGAGCAGAAGGGTAAGTAGGCACTGAACACATCAGACATCAGAAGCCACGGGCATTTGGGTCTAATTCAGGAGTCACTGTGTGACACATCAGAGAAACAGACACTTCTTGCAGGTTTGTGTGTGGAGGAACTTTGTGTTGATGTGTTAAGCTCTGCACCCGTAATCTGATCAGTGTTCACAGTAAGTCATCGGTGATCTCACACCTACAAGGAGATGAGGTTGGCACTCTCCTGCCTGTAGGAAGACAGGACTCCTTGCTGGGGAGTCTGGGAGCCCTTCCACTTGAGTTCCAGGGATGTTCCCCTCCAGAGGGTGACATCAGCGCTGGGACCAAGGGAGGCACAGTGAAGATTCGGGTGCAAGCGCTTCTCTGTCCTCCTGGCCCGTCATCCACAACTTTGTTCCTCCTTCTGCCCCAGGCCTGGTCACCTCTCTGGGGTTGCACTTGAGGCTACATGAAATGCCAGCCCAGCAGAAGTCTAGCTGGGACCTCCTAGAGCCCATGTGCTTCCATTGTGCTGGTCCTTAGGATGAGCTCCATGACGCTCTGAAAATGTGCCATGCAGGAGGCTTCTCTGTCATTTAAGATGCCAAGGCCCAGTCCTCATCTAAATAAAGTATTTTTATATCCGCTGTTAGCACTTTCTGCAGTACGGAAATTGTGTTCCTCCAATTCTCAGACCACATAGATGGTATTTCCAGTAGCCCACTTGGCCGAAGATTCTCTGGGAACATGATCTAAGTCAAGTCAAGTTCTGCATACCTGCATGTATTTTATCCACAACTGGTGGGCAGATGGCAGTCAAGATGAATTTTCTAATGTAGCCCATAGATCGGGCAAATTTTCTCCAATTGCTCCATGCATGTAAGTATCAATAGTGTGGCTTTTAGGTAAACATTTGAGAAAATGTCTTGCTCCTTGTAATGTTTCCGTCCGATGTGGGTGTTTAAATCATGCACACCTGTCCCGTGTGGGCTACATAAACCTCCTTCTCGTGGATTCTTTGAGTCTTGGACACACGGGCTAAAATGAAGAAGCAAGACCCAGGAAGGCCGGCGCCGTGGCTCAATAGGCTAATCCTCCACCTTGCGGCGCCGGCACACCGGGTTCTAGTCCCGTATTTTATCCACAACTGGTGGGCAGATGGCAGTCAAGATGAATTTTCTAATGTAGCCCATAGATCGGGCAAATTTTCTCCAAATTGCTCCATACATGTAAGTATCAATAGTGTGGCTTTTAGGCAAACATTTGAGAAAATGTCTTGCTCCTTGTAATGTTTCCGTCCGATGTGGGTGTTTAAATCATGCACACCTGTCCCGTGTGGACTACATAAACCTCCTTCTCGTGGATTCTTTGAGTCTTGGACACTCGGGCTAAAATGAAGAAGCAAGACCCAGGAGCATTGCCCTTCCTCAGAATGGTCCAAGTCCTTCCGCTCCCTTTGAAATTAATTCCAGAGCCTGAACATTAAAACAGGAATGTAATGATTTGAAAGTTTGTCAGCCTGTGAAAGGTAGTATATTTTGACACCTGAACCCAAGAACCAATCAGTTTTCTAATAAACAATCGGCAGTTGACTAACGTGTCATGAGCCCTGCAGGAGCTCTGGAGAGGGGCCGGGCTGCCCGTGGACGCTAATGAATACACCAGAAATCATTAGGTGATCAATACTTCTGAGTTATTTCCATTGAGCTGATGGGTCTGATCCATTAAAGCTGACATCATACATTTGTCAAGATCACAGTGCAGTTTTTAACAGAGGCACAGCCCGCTGAAACAATCAAGGAAACAACTTGGTCCCCCGACATGCACAGCTGGACCAGGGGCCCTGGCAGCTCTGGTGGTCAGGCTGCAGCTGCCTGCTACGCGGATCCATGGAGGATGATGTTTTAGCAGGTCATCATTTCTGTGCAGGACACTGTGTGCAGTTTAAGGGAATGCCGCCAGACGATGGAGCACATGGCCTGGGACTTCCTCTAGGTGGCTTTTGGCATTGCCCTAATAACACAGAGATCCGTGGGCTGGAGGTTGCATTATTTAAAAGAGGATAAGTTGTCTGCAGCTGTTCCTGAATATTTTTGTCCTTGGAAATGTTGAGAAGAAGATGTAAAGGAGATGGCTGAGGTGGCTGCTGGACCCGAGCCGGTGCAGGCCCAGTGTTCCCGGCAGCCCAGATGAGAAGGTGGTCTTGGGAGGTCACTGTGTGTACACAGTTTGTTGTCACAGTTTGCATATGTGCGTGTTAGAGACAGATGATTGCAATCAGCCAGAAACAATGACCGCAGGCAAAATAAGAGGCTCCCACCAGTTTGTGTGTGTGTGTTGTTCCTATAAACTGAGTAGCCAGCAAGATAGTGAGTGACTGGTGCGTGGGAGATAAGCAGAGTCAGGGTCTCCAGGATACAGCCCTGCCATTCTTTGTTTCGGAATTCAAGGACAGGGGATACAATGGCGGTGTGAGGCTGGCTTCCTCTTCATCATAGGCACCTGCCCCGCCCATGACCGTGGCACTTGAGTCCTGCCTTGCTTTCTGGAGAGGCGAGCCTTTGGACCACACGGACGACCTTCAGTAGCTGGTTCTTCCCATCTGCTACTGCCCAGTCGCAAGCCTAGTTTTGTGAATTGTTTCAAGCCCGACGTTGGGCTGTGGCACCAAAGACCAGCCGCCTGTGCGTACCCCTCCAGGCCCTGCAGGCTGATGTGTTGCTGTCTCTAGCCTCCAAATCCCACAACCAGCGCTCCTTGGCTGCCCTGCCGAGGGGAGTAGAATTCCTGGGGTTGAATTAGCAGCTCGAGAAATTCTATTTGTCATCCATTTCTGCCTGGGGTTGCGGAGCAGAAAACTGCAGGCAAGCTGCTGCTCTGATGGCTCACTCCTAAAAATCTCTTTTTGTTCTTTATCTATTTGAACTGACAGTGATCAGAGCTGCAGCAGGACAGGGCTCTCTGGAGAAATCACCTTCCCCTGCCTATTGACAGATCCCTCTGTTCTGTATCAGACGGCTTTGTCCCATCACAGGCATCCGGGCCCTGGAAGAAGCCACCAATTAAACCTCGTGAGCCGGTAAAATTTGAAGCCACTTTGGAGTGTCTGTTCTGATTAGGCAGGATGAGAGGAGGCCTATCACCCTGCAGGCCCTGCGTCCCGGTCTCAATTTTCTCTCTTGCCTCCACCAGGTGCGAGAGGTGTGAGAGGAGCTTCACGCAGGCCACCCAGCTGAGCAGACACCAGCGGATGCCCAATGAGTGCAAGCCAATAACCGAGAGTCCAGAATCAATCGAAGTGGATTAACTGATTGACTGGTTGGAATTAAACTGCAAGGAAAGTCATGATTAAATGTCACGGACACTTAAGCAAAACCAAAGATTTCCTCTGAGCAACTTTCAATCAGTCCCAGAAAACCAAAAGCAGTAATAAAATAAGTAAGATGTTAAGAGATATTGATCCCGGCATGGAAGTCAGACCAGGAAACAGATTATTTATTTATGACTAGGGATGAGACTCATTTCAGTGGACTGCGAACCTGGGGTGGCCAAACATTGCCAGTCCTCCCGCCATGTATTTTCTTTGTTTGTAAAAAGCTTTTTAAAAAAATTTGTTATTTAATACCAAAGGGAGGAATCGTGGGGGCTGTTGTGCCCGCAGTTGCAATCAAGAATGCACAGGGACTTGGCTGTCGTGGCACCTTTTTTAAGTAGCATGTTGCAAGGGGACCCGGTGTACAGCCCTGCCTCCTGCTGTTCGGCCTGGCCTGCTGCCGGCTGCCGCCCCAGCGTCGGCCACAGAGGTGGAAGCGAGTCGCGTCTGGGGCCGCATGTGCCCGTGTGTGCCACGCTCGCTTCTTGTGCACTTTTCCCAGCAGCCTGGAGGAGAGCCTGGAGGAGGAGGAGGGTGCTTCCGCTTCCCGAACGCGGAGGAAGAGGCGGAGGCATGCTTTGTCCTGTCTGGATTCAGAACCATTCAGCACATACAGGGCTTTATCATGCAGTGCGTTGCTGTGGAGCGGCTAGTTGACACAGTTTTGTTTCCAATGACATTTTAGCTTAAAAAAAAAAAAAAAAAAAGGAGATGTTAATAAAAGTTCTTCGGTCTGAGGCTGAATAGAAGGTATTAGGCTCCAAGTAATTTTGTTGTTGTTTCTTTGAAAGCTCTGAGTGCGTCAGCAGAACCAGTGTTCAGCCCCCTTGCCAAGGCCATGGTCGGCAGGTGCATCTCTTCCTTGTCCTGGTGCAGGCTGGGAGGTTCCTCTACCCACTGCTGGTGGTCAAGGGGTGGCATTTCTCAGAAGTAGGTGAAGCAAGGCTTGGCAAGGAACCATGACAAGGAGGAGCCAGAGCACAACATGGTTAGAACATGGCATGGCAGGGGAGCCGCGTTTATCAACAGGAATTTGCTTTTGCCTCTCTCGGGATGATTAAGTAGAACAAAGGTTACACAGTTGCACTTTGCTGTGCTGGATTGCTTGGAAAGTGAGTTCAGCTTTCTGCTGGCCTGTTGGTGGTCTGACAATGCTGCTTCATAAAACTGGGTCCCATTCCAAGAGAGGATCCACATGTGAAGCAGTGGCAGTCCGCACAGCTTAGTCCATCAGCTTCCCGCAGTGACCAGACTGAGTCTAGTTCCATGGCCTGTATTTCATTATAACAGAATGATCAATAACAACAATTTCTGTTTGTAGATTCTGAGTCTCCTGGGAGCAGGGCAAAGCCTTCTAACCAACTCCTTTTCTTGGTGCCCTTGTGTTTTCTTTCTTCAATAGAAAAGAAAGAAAGAGACACGTAACTCATCTCCCTACTCCTAGGCAGGGATTCTGAGGGATTGCAATTAATCTGTCGTGATATATTTGGGTCTCAGAAAATCTTGCCTTTGAATCTGGCTTCTCTGTCCCATAGCACTCAACTGCCACATTTCAGATGAAACCAAACAATGCCTAGCTTATTAGGGGGTCTTCATAAAGTTCACTGAATATGTATATTATGAAAAATTTATTTCAAAAAGCTTTGGCACAGTATAAATTTACCTTTTAGTTGGATTTCCCACAAACTTTAGAAGTCCCTGTGCCTAAACATCGGGGTACCTCGAGAAGTTCATGGACAATTGAAATATTTGTTAGAATAATCCCTAGGATTGCGGGCCACAAGGAGAAATAGAGCTGATCCTGACATCCACTGCCAGTCTCCAGTCACCCACCTGGAAATCTCCCTTGGTTATGGTCGAGCCCTGTGCTGAAGTAGGAAGCATCCGGCCAGCAGTGTGGCTGTGGCTGAGGGGAGGGATTCTCCCCGTAGGGAGGAATATGTTAGGATCCGACATCCCTGCTACCAATGCACAGCACTGGAAGGGTGGGGACAGCACGCCGTCTTCACCTGAAACCTGCGAGCAGATGCCAGCCGAGCTGCTTGGGGGAGCCGACAGTCGCACGTGTGACGGTGGGAACATCTGGTTGGACATTTTGAAGATGAGGTTGAGGAACTCTGTTGCACGTTTCTGATGTGTTTTCTTTCCAGTGAGGTGATCTGGGGGAGTGGGTCATTCGCCTCATTTCCCAGCTGAACACAACGTACCCCCACCCCGTTCTCAGAAGCCTTCACTCCGCCGTACACGTCTGGCTTGAGAAGTGTTCCCATGGCAGACGTCTCTGCCGGAGAGCAAAGCTAGTGGATCCCAGACTTCCCCGCACGCGGCAGAAGCTCCCCTCGAGGACGTCTTTCTGCTCTAAGTCTGTCTCCTCCATCATTGCGAGAGATTCTTGACATAGATAGGCCCCCAAATCTGGTCAGAAATGGTTTTCTGCTTAAAAAGATGCTGAATGGATTGGTCTCATGTTCCAGGCGTTTGGGGACTTTGGGTTTTCCCAGTGCTGAACCAGGGCCAGCTGTCTGTGCTGGGCCTGCAGCTGGACGTGGAGCTCTGAAGTGAGTCTTGAGCTCATTTGGGTCCCCAGTGCTTTTAATGAAGTCTGTGCAGGACCAGGGGCTTAGCCTTGAACCCTGGCTGCCATTGCTTTAGACTTTTCCATTTGAAATGGACAGAAAATTTCTTGAAATGCAACACATGGATAGTAGAAGATGAAGACATCAAGGTTTCCCAGTTTCCCTTATTACCAACTTCCTAACTCAACACAGTCTAGAGATGAAAATCTGAATCCCTACAGAGAGCAGGTGTCTAGGATGGGAAAGACAGTGTCGGAGCCAAGTTAAGGTTAGATCCTCGTGGCAACCCTCCTCACCCTTTCTGCCCTGGGGCCTGAAGGGATCTTGTTTCTTTTCCAGGTTGCCCTTTTCTCTAATGGTGTATTGGACTAGCTAAGAGTCTAAGCTGGAGGATACGGCTGGGTCCAGGTCAAGGAGAAGGAGGATCAGGGGTGAGGTTGCAGACCATCACGTTTCTCATTTTTTGAGTGTCACAGCTGAAAGTTTGTTTTTCCCCCGGAATCCTTTTATTTAAGATATAGGAACTGCAAGCATTTCATAAATACAATTTAGGAAAATGGTGATTCTTCCCACTCTACCTGCCTTCCCACCCACACTTCCACACTTTTTCCTTCTCCCTCGCCTATCCCCATTCTTTTTTTTTTTTTTTTACTAAGATCTACTTTCAATTAACTTTATACACATAAGGTTTATACACATAAGGGTTCAACAAATAGTGTGCGGGAAAAAAAAAAAAAACCTTCGTCAACAGTGGAGACAAGGGCTGTTCAAGTCATTGCATCTCCAAGTGTCCATTTCACTTCTATAGGTTACATTTTAGGTGCTCTGTTACCACAGATCAGGGAGAACATACAGTATTTGTCCTTTGGGGCCTGGCTTATTTCACTAAGTATAATGTTATCCGGCTGTATCCACTTTGTTGCAAATGACAGGATTTCAATTTTTTTAACCACTGTTCATGGTGTACATACCCCATTATTTCTTTATCCACTCTATAGTTGATGAGCATTTCGGTGGCTTCCATATCTTAGCTGTTGTGAATTGTGCTGCCATGAACGTGGAGGTACAGATAACTCTTTCACATGCTGATTTCATTTCCCTTGGGTAGATTCCCAGGAGTGGGATGGCTGGCTGCGTCCTATGGTAGGTCTGTATTCCGATTTTGGAGTTGTCTTCATACTGTCTACCACAGTGGCTGTACCAGTTTACATTTCCAACAGTGCTGAATTAGGGTGCCTTTTTCCCCACATCCTCACCAGCATTTGTGGTTTGTTGGTTTCTGTATGAGAGCCATTCTTACTGGGGTGAGGTGAAACCTCATTGTGGTTTTGATTTGCATTTCCCTGAGGACTAGTGATCCTGAAAATTTTTTCATTTGTCTGTTGCTATTTGGATTTCCTTTTTTGAAAAATGCCTGTTTAAGTCCTTTGCCCATTTCTTAGCTGGGTTGTTTGTTTCATGGTTGTTGAATTTCTTGAGCTCTTTTTATATCCTGGATATCCTTTATCAGTTACATAGTTTGCAAATAATTTCTCCCATTCTGTTGGTTGTCTCTTCACTTTGCTGACTGTTTATTTTGCAGTACAGAAGCTTCTCAATTTGATGTAATCCCTGTCAATTTTGACTTTGATTATCTGTGCCTCTGTGGTCTTTTCCAAGAATTCTGCCTACGCCAATGTCTTACAGGGTTTCTCCAGTGTTCTCTAATAATTTGATGGTATTGTGTCAGAGATTTAGGTGTTTGATCCATTTTGAGTGGATTTTGTGAAGGTGTGAGGTAGGAGTCCTGCTTCGTACTTCTGCATGCAGAAATCCAGTTTCCCCAGCACCATTTGTTGAAGAGACTGTGCTTGCTCCTGGGATTGATTTCAGCTCCTTTGTCAAAGATAAGCTGATTGTAGGTATGTGGGTTGATTTCCGGAGTTTCTATTCTGTTCCATTGATCTATTCATCTGTTTTTGTGCCAGTACCAGGTTATCTGATTGTCACTTACCTGTAGTATGTCTTTTTTTAAGATTTATTTATTTATTTGAGAGGCAGAGGCAGAGAGAGAGAGAGAGAGAGAAAGAGAGGTTTTCTATTCGCTGGTTTACTCCCCAAATGGCTGCAACGGCTGGAGCTTCGCTGATCCAAAGCCAGGAGCCAGGAGCTTCCTTGAGGTCTCCCATGTGAGTGCAGGAGTCCAAGGACCTGGGCCATCCTCTGCTGCTTTCCAAGGCTATAGTAGAAAACTGGATCAGATATGGAGCAACTGAGATTCAAACGAATGCTCGTATGGGATGCCGGCACTGCAGGTGGCAACTTTATCCACTATATCACAGTGCCATCCTCTGTAGTATGTCTTGAAATTTAGTATTGTATTGCCTCCAGCTTTTTTTGTTGTTGTTATCTAAGATTGCTTTTGCTATTTGGGGTCTCCTGCATTTCCATGTGAATTTCAGCATCATTTTAAAAATATGTTGGAGAACAATGTCCTTGATATTTTGATTGGAATCACGTTGAATCTGTAAATTGCTTTTGGTAGTGTGGACATTTTTGACGATATTGTTTCTTCCCATCTGTGACCATGGAAGATTTTTCCATTTTTTAATGTCTTCTTCTATTTCTTTTTTTTAATGTCTTGTAGTTTTCATCATAGAGATCTTTGACATCCTTGGTTAAATTTATTCCAAAGTGTTTAATTTGTTTGCAGCTTGTGAGTGGGATTGATCTTAGAAGTTCCTTTTCAACCATGGCATTGCCTGTGTATACAAAGGCTATTTATTTTTATGTGTTAATTTTATATCCTGCCACTTTACCAAACTGTTCTATGAGTTCCAATAGCCTTATAGTGGAGTCTTTCAGATCCCTTGTATATAGAATCATGTCATCTGCAAATAGAGATAGTTCAGTTTCTTCCTTCCCAATTTATATTCCTTTGATTTCTTTTTCTTGCCTGATGGCTCTGGCTACAACTTCCAGGACTACATTGAATAGCTGTGGTGAGAGTGGGCATTCTTGTCTGGTTCTAGAACTTAGTGAGAATGCTTCCAAATTTTCCCCATTCAATAGAATGTCGGCTGTGGGTTTGTTATAAATTACTTTGTGTTGAGGAATGATCCTTCTATACCTGATTTGCTTAAAGTTTTCATTATGAAAGGGTGTTGTATTTTATCACGTGGTTTCTCTGCATCTGTT